GAACCCCTAAACCCCTAAACCCTCAACCCTACATAGTAGGTTCCAGTTTATTTTCCATTCTCCCAATAAAACCCAACATAACCCCAATATCCTGCCACGAAGCTTGCAAACTGTACCTAGCAATGGCTGAGCTCGTAGCAATGTTTTGTGCAGGACTCCAAGCTTGTCCAGAAGACTCCTTGGCTGTTTCTTCCATCTTGGGTCAGTCTAGCCAGGCTTTAGCTTCTCCTTGCGGCGGTTTCATGCTTGGAGTAATTCTGTGAAACCCCAAGGTCCACACCAGCAAAACCTCAAAGAATTCACGCAGGTAGTGGCATCACAAAGCGAAGAGACTAAAACGAAAATCATGTGTTGTTTAGACCCATGTCAGGGTGCTACAAGCCGGGAATACTTGCAGATGCTTTGGCTCGAGGGCTTCAGAAAGGGTATTCATTTGAAGTGCACCATGATGAAAGGAGTTGCCACAAAACTGGGGACCCTTTTCGCAAAGTCCAAGAATCTGAGGGTGTCAAAGGGCCAGTAAACCCAAACAAGGCCAGGGTCATGGTGTTGGTCTCGCATCTGATTTAAGATGTCCGGGCCGCTGCGTTTTCTGTGGATTGCTCGTCTACAGGACAAACCGAGATTTCCTCCGTCAACAGCAGCAACTCCTGAGAGCTAGGGCATTATAATGGTACCTGGGAGATTGTAGGCAGCTCATCTGACCAGAGCAATGTCCGCTGTTGGCTGCCGTGAATATCAGCAGCCATATTATGATGGCGAAAAAGGTTGATGGTTATAGAACCCCTATAATCCCTGTAGCTTCCATTTTTCCATTATCCCAATTATAACCCCAACCTATCCCCTATCATCCCAATATAACCCCGTAGGTGTGCTAGTTGGCCACAGCATGAGCCCCATGAATTTGAAAAGCAGGTGAAGTGGCTAAGCTGCTGGGTGCAAACGTCCAAGATACAAAAAAAAATCCATAGCGTATATGTTGGGTGATCATTGGGCGAATGGAAAAGACAATAGAAACTACACTATTATAGTAGGGTATATATTGGGGTTATAATGTATAATTGGGAGAATGGAAAATGAAATGGAAACTACTACAGTGGGGTTGTATCGGGTTAAGGGTTCAGGGTTGGGGAGTCTGCTAGAATGCAAAAAACGAAGGAAGCTATCAAACCTGCCCCATACCTGGAAGTTTTGCAACATCCACACATTCCGAGCCCAAAAAAGGCCCTGCTCTATGAGCCCAGGAACTGCCGGACGGCCTCCGTGCCCCCTGCTTCGCCTGTGGGATACCGCAGGATGCTTGCAGGTGTTGAGGCTATAAGGTAGGTTCCATAAATTGGGGAACCCCAATTCATACTCCAATATCCTTTCATCCTTATTATGAGGCCCCCCCAACAGAAGGTACCAAGGCTTTGGGAAGATTGCGGGCCTGGCGGGCATCCAGCTTGAACGGATGCGCAGTGCTGCAAGGCTTTTTGGGTTGTGGCTCTGTTTGAGGCGCTTGGAATTGCACTCGTGATGTCTACAGCTACTCTTTCAGGATGCTTGGGCTTCGCGTCTGTAAGCTGAATGCCAATGCCTTGTGTTGAAGCCGCTGCCTCATCTTTGGACCTTGCTTGCACAAGCTCAGTGTTAGGGAGTTTTGCTGAGGGTCGCTGCCAAAGCTCGTAGCAACAGTACTGCCACCAGCAGCGGCAGCAGCAGCCGGCGGTTGCATTGGTGGTACGCTTATTCTGCACCCGTGGCTTTCATTCCACCCTTGCATGAGGGGCCTCCTTAAGGTCATGATGCTTTGTCAAATCAAAGCTTAGGCAGGAGCAGCTCATCTCCCACAGGGGCCTTGTCACTCAGGAAAGGTAGAGTAGAGACTACAGGACGTTGGGCGGGGAGCTAAGACTTTGAATGGCAAGGGCTCAAGGCGTGTGTGTGACCTTCTGTCTCAAAGAGCGTACGTCTGTTGCCAGCCAGACGTGCTAAAACAAGACACTTGAAAGTTGAGTATCCACTCCCCGGCCCCCCGTAAGACTAGTGCTTAACAGCTGCCCACGTGGAGTTCCATGTTCGCTTGATGGGGCAGGGTGGGTAGCGATCCTACTACAATTACTGAACTTTGGGTTCCTGTTCCGGTAGACTACCTTGCAGCCTCTGCATGAGTCACCTACCACATCTTCTGACCTGAAAAAAAAACTTCCGACAGGTGGTCCTCAAGTACGCTGCAAAATTGGAGCCTTAGTAGCACATCCCTTTTGCGACGGAATCCCCAAGGGATCCCTGACTAATCTGGAGCCAGCAACCCTAGACCTGTGACATTAACTTCCTCAGGTGACTTTTCACAAGTTAGGGGCTCAAAAAGAGGCTTTCTTCGTTTAGGCTATCTTTGGGACTCCTTCATTTTCTAAGACGCCCACAGACCGACCCTAAACCGTAAACCCTAAACCCTAAACCCTAAAACCTAAACCCTAAACCCTAAACCCAGTTTAGCCAAGAAGCAGAACCTGCGGTCCACACCCCGACCCCACTCACAAGCGCAGCGAGGGCTGGAGCTTCAGCAGGCAACTGCCTGTAGGGGAGAATCAAGTGAGCTATAATCTAAACTCCTTAAAGGAGGTTATATAGAGGATTATATAGGCGAGAAATATGGGGATACTGGAAGTTTAGACTATGGCTTCTGAAAAGATAATGGAAAATGACATCAAAATTCTTGCTCTGTGGGCGGGAGGGGGTTGGTTAGCGAGCAATCCTTGCCCATGCAGCTCCACAGGATTGAAAGTTTTGTTGTTAGGCTTTGCCAGACTAATGAAACCTGTTGAACGTAGCTTTGGCACAAGAAAGATATGAAATGAGCGTCACGGGGAGCCGTGGCTAAGCATGATCATCGTCCCCTAGAAGAGCCGTCGGAGTCCCGCCAAACCTAGGAGCTAGCGCTCTGACTGCTTCACATATGGGTAAAAGGATATTTCCCTTACTTCAGAATCTTCTGAAATACTCCACAACCATGCGCACACTAACCCCATTGACTTAGGGCAGTCTCCACCCAGTAATAATGGTCTTATATCATCCCAATTATCACTTGTAATCACTATTGCTGGGCGAGGCCCATAAGATTGCTTGGGGCCGCTGGGGGCTTCTGGAAAGGGTTCCTACTACTCAATGGCTATGAGGATACGAGGGGAATGCCGAAGATGACACACTCCGCCCTCTGGCTTAGTAATGCCAAGCAAAGAGCGTTGTTCTGACTTCAAGCTGTCAAGGATGCTTAGCTATTCCCCTGATGCTAGGGCTTGCGGGACACAAGTTGAAACAAACGGATGATGAAGCCAGTGCTAGTGGCACGAACAAATTTCAAGTTTCCAAGACATGTACCCTTCTAGAAACATTGGGATAGTCAAATCTTCGCAGCCGACGCTACTACAAAACGGTAAAAGCACTTTGACCAAGCTTGCTCGCACTTGCACGCATCAGCAGCCTTCCGGCGTTTTGTCTTGCTTGCTTTCTGTCCGCAGCATTCTGCATAAACTCCGCATACCCTGAAGTCTTTGGGGCATGCAGCTGGCGAAGGAAACTGTTTCGCAGGCATGGCACATTTGGCCACGCAACCCTTGGCGCCCTCATCATCCGGAAATTCTGCAACCGATCTTGGCAAAACACTCAGCTTTAAACGGGTACAAAGCCCAAATCTTTCACCTTATGCTGCAACGCACCGGAGGAGAACACAGCGGTAGCGGACGGTCTCCTGCAGCATACACTTTGAATTTGGATGTTATGGATATGTAGGGTTTGTTGGCTTGGAGTTTCTGGATGAATTGGTAGCCTGAACCCCCAGAACAGGGGCCCCTTTGTAATGAAAGGGTGGTCGCGAGGTCCTTATCTTAAGGGGTTGCGGGCTAAGAATGAATCCCCGTCACAGACAAGTTCTTTATTTGCACCTTCTAGGCAATCCATGCAATGCTGAGAGGTATAATACCAATGGGGCCCGACTGAGTAGCGCACGGTGACAGACATAGCATGATCAAATTATATATATGTGATGTGGGGCAATCATTCAATACGTCTTCGAACACATAGACGCCAACGGTACGAACACAAGCGGCAGTATCCTTACTCAATCTTTGAAAGCCCTGTTGAGAGCATCCAAACCAAACAAGCAACACCCTGCATAATCCCGGCTTGTACATCATGCAGAAAGCCCAATAGGCACCATTTCTCAAAGCAACTGAAAGCCTGTTGAGAGGCCTCCCCGCCGTTCGAAGAGCTCCCATTGACACGCTTCTCCTAAGCCGTCTGTGGTCCACTAAATCCAAGAGGGAAGAAGGCGGAGAAACCAGAAAAGACAATCGATTCATGAGTGCCGATGCAAGTCGTAGAAAAAGACTAGGGGTAGGAGATTGCGAAACCATGCAACGATGGAGAGCACTGGCAATATAAAGAGACACGACAGCTGAGTGTGACTACAGTGGCAGGTTCACTGTCATGCGAAACTGCAGGCAAAAAGTGCAGAGTTAGCATGTGTTTTTATGTAGCATTCATGTAGGGCGTTTGCTTGGAAATCGCTACTCGCAACCGGTGTCTCAGTGCTAGTTCCTGGCCGCTTCTCGTGCAAGATTACACGAGTTGGACAAGAATTATGTTGCAGCAGGCAATTTCTATTGCAGTCATGAAGCAGCCAGGCCAGCTTTGACCGCCAAATCCTCGGCGGTCATGCTGTTGGCAGATACATATCCGAGGCCCGAGACCAACAACATCAGTCCTAATTACTGTCTCACAACCTGCCAAAGTTCCAAGAGGTAGGTGAGCTCGCATATGTCCAGGATACCACCACCTTGTGCTCCACAGTCCTTCGCCAACCTGACAAATGCAGGGACTGCCGTGCCGCTCCGTACAGCATATGAAATGATTGATGAAAATCCGATGCTGTCGAATATTGATGCAGTGATGATGGTGATGATTACAAGGATGATGATGATGATGATGATGACGACAACGATGATTGGCCATCGTCTTCACGAAGACCACAAAAACAAAAGCTCACTATCGCTGCCGAGCTTCTCAGGCACGGATGCGAAAGGTGCCTTCATCAGATGTTGGAGAAGCCGAAGAACTAAACATCGGAGCACCGGTACGTTCAAGGTGCCGCGTGCATGCACCCAGGCACATGGAGCGACCAAGTGGCAGGGAAGAAAACATCTTTGAAGCAGGGCGCCATCCGATGGGATGTCTGCCGCTCGCAGCACACAGGCTGCAGCATTGCGAATGCAGTCAAGCGAGGCGTGCTTTATGTATGGCCACAGCCAATGCCTTCCCAAGTCAAACTTGCAGAAGAATGAGGCGGCTTCTGAGGATTCTTGCGCGCTTCCCGCCCGCACAAGACAGTAAGGAGCAGCCACATGCGGAAGCACCTCGCAGAAGTCCTGGCCACAAGGAAAGGGGACCACAAGCCTTAACTCCTCCAAGCAGGCAAGCGCCAGAGACAGCGTCTGTGGCTGGGCCTTCAGTCTCTGCCTTCGTCCCTGGCGCGAAGCATAGGAAGCCTGCAGCTTTGCAACACTAGCCCCTGGCAGCACACAATCTGCAGAGTCGCCTGCTTCTCTCGGGCCAGGTGCGAGAGATATGCTGCTAACAGCCTTCAGAACGAAGGCCGCTGTGTCAAGCAGCTCTTGCTCGCCTCTGCCCGGAGTCTCCAAGAAAGCTACGGCAAATTCTTTGAACGCCTTCCTCAAGATGGATGGGTCCACATCTGTGTCAGGCGCAGAGCTTGTCTTGAAATGTTGGGCTTGGTAAGGCTTGTCAATCTCAGCTCCCTGGCTTCGAGACGATGTGCACAAACCATCTTCACTGATATCGTCATTATCTTCCTCGTCCGCAAGCTCCTCTTCCGAATTCTGCTGCCTGTCTGCGTCAACACCTGCAGTTTCCTCAGCATCCGCACAGAGGCAGCACTGAGGGTCCAGGGGATCTAGTGGAGCTGAAATCATCTTGGCAATCTCTCCCTTGGGCGCAACCATCCACTTGAGGACGGCGGAGTTGGAAGTAGCAGTGGCCTTAGACCCCGGGCCCTTTGGCACTCTAAACGATATATGAATGGCTTCCAAAAATCAAGAGCCTGTTTTGGGATGTTCCCAATTGTGTAAAAATGCGGTCTATATGGGGCCCAACTTCTGGCAGCCCCCATATAGCAACATGAACAATGTGTCTAACCCTTGGCACCAACCAGCTCCGAAAATCCCAGGCCACAAGTCCTCATGTAACCTCTCAAAATGGAGTTTGACGCCATCATGGCCATGTCCACGGAAGACAAGAGTTCAAAAAAGTCAGGATGCAACGCTAAATCCTGACCCTCAACTGCGATAGTCCTTCCCCTACACGCCCCCACCCCTGACACTAATGTGGTTGAGCTAGTATAGGGATCATCTTATGCAAATTTGGGGTGGGGGGAGGGGAGGCGGTTTTTGATATCGGAAAGTAGTTTACAGTCCCGGCAACTGGGGCGGTCCGAACTGAATGTAGGGTTGGCTCCTCGCTGGTTAGCTGAAGGTGTTTCTGGATGCCTGGACCAGAATGCTTGGGGGCTTGGGGTTGAGGGAGTTTTCGGCTGGAGTCTAGAGGGTCTTCAGGGTGTAAGGGGCAGCGTGGAGGTTCCAATTCTTAACGCATCTTCATGGGATCGTATGGCTTGGCGCTATGAGGATAGGCACAGTAGTCAGCTACACAACATGGAGGTCACCATCGAACCTTCAAAATAAGCATTTCGATGGTAGTTCCCGAGATACAACATATAATCTCGTATAACTTTCTACAATCCTTTAACGTTTCATGTATCCCCCAAAAAATGGATACCTACGATGTTCTTAGGGTACCCCTGGCAACACATGACAGACCCTGTTCGTAGGGTCGG